TATTTTTAGGCTTCTAGCCTTTGAGTGTAAGCACTTGCACATGCTGGTCCTACTTTGGATGTCTGTTTCAAGTGCCCTGCATTGGTGAAACTGTAGTTTTGGCTGGATTTCAGTGAATCCTTTTGATTTTTGTGACTTTGCTCCAAGTGTACATAGCCATGACTCGGCTCTTCTGTCACGTTCATCCCAGGTGCTACTAATGGCACTTAGTAAAGGCTTTTAAATTCCAGTTTCTGCTTTTGTCAAAGTGGAATTGATACTTTTTTTTTTTTAGGTAGACGCACACCCCACCCCAATTTCTGCAATTCCTGATAAATTTAAAACTTTTATCATTCAACTATGGAGTTAAGACTTGGCCTATGAAGTGTTGCCTAGCTGGCTGTCTTAAAAGCTGTAATATTTTCCATTCTTCTAGAGAAGTGGCTGCATTTTGCCTTTTATTTCTTCCAGCAATTTAGCCTTGAATGTAGCTACGGGATTGTAATTTTTTTCGTCATGAAGGCTTTTATAGATGAGTGATGTAGCCTAATTTAAAAGGAGGATACACAAAACCTGGTTCAGGAAGGACGTTGTATATTGGTAGTGCCTGTTTCCATCCAGCTGTAATTTTGGTTCTGTGCACTACCACAAAACCTGGAGCTCATTCTGCAGCAATATTGAACATGCATTTGCTGCAGACTAGGTCTCACCAGTTTGTGTTTTGTTGGGTTTTTTTTTTTTTTTTTTTTTTCAAAGTCTCAACGCTTCATCCAGTGATCAGTCTAATCGATCTTACAGGTTTCAAGCAATTGTGTTTCTATTGTTAAGCATCTTCCGCTGTTACCAGTTGTGAGGTGTGAGATTTTTTTTTTTTAATTCTTTTCACTCTGTAGATACCTCCTTTTTTGGTAGTTGTTCATTTAGAGATACTGTGACATTGCCTATGTAACTTTTGTTTCTCCTTGGTACTAGCATTTTTAGAAAACAAGCTACCACATTTTGCAAATTTTTGGAAAAAATACTATTTTGGGAGTGTAATTTTGTTGCTGAGTCTTTCAGAGGTAGGAGCTGATATTTGTGAGGAAATATATGTGGATTTTACTTACGACTATGCACTAACAGTTAAGCACATAAACTTTTTTTTATTTCATACCTAGTAATACAGGTCATTAAAACCTTTTTAAGAGCCTTTGTGGAAAAAAATATATTTAGGCAAAAAGATACATGCTATGGGTCTTACCGTTGCTACATATTATGTGCATGTATGGTATAATACACCCAAAAGTCTGTCTTTCTACTAGGCCTCTGTAAAAGTAGGAATAGGAAAGGTTTGAGTCAGGCCTGAGGTATAGTCTTGGCATAGTCTCATTTCTTCTTTGCTCCCATCTGTTCAGGTATATTTAAAACTTTAATAAAAGCTTTATGTGCTTGTGATGCTCTTGTCCTCGTAGAGAAAGAAAATATGCAGAACAAACCTGGGAAACTTAAAGAATCGGTTAACTGAGTGACGACTTCTCAGCAAAAGCTGAGATGTAGGGTAATCTAACTTTGAATTATTAAGCCCTAGAGGGAAAAATAAGATAGATAAAAGAGAATATTGGATTAAATTAATCTTCAGTGTAACTGACTGATTTCCAGGGAGGTACAAGCCAACTGCACTGATAATACTTTTTTTTTTTTTGTATGAAAACCTCTTTCATTCCAATAGAATGTTACCTTTATTGCGGTTCAAATGCTATTACATAATGGCATTAGGCTGTAAGGCTAACATATGAAGGAATTAAAAGGTGGTCGCCTCTCTCCTAGGCTTAATCTGGTTCACAGTTTTGCTGTCTGGTTCCCCCTGCCCCCACCTCACTCCCACTCAGTTAATGGACAAGAGGGCTTGAATAATGTTGTAAATGTGTAGAAGAGTATTTGAGCTCTGGGCCGCTTTACTGTTTGGGGATTTTAAGGGCTGTCCTCAAATGGTAGATAACTACACAAGTTGATAATCTCTATTTTAAAAATGCTTCCAAGTCTGGGAAACCTAGTGACTGTTATAAAACCTGAATAAATGCAGGCTTGAACTTTGAACATTTTCACTCTCTTGGGAATGGTCACATGTGTTAATATAAGCTATGGATGCTAATTATCACTGCAGTGCATGTATACAATTAGAAAATTATTAGCAATGTAAGGCTTATATTGCATTGTAAGCCAGATTTACAATGTATGTTCTGTAATTTTCCTTTTGCTATATGTTAATTTTAGCATAGTGTATTTTGCTGCAAGCATCAAGGACGTTGGCACGATAAAAAGCAAAGAAATATAGCTGCTAAGGTTTCTTTTCTCCAGCTCAGTTTACTTGAACCATTTATTTCCTTAATATTCTATTACAGATATAATTCTTAATTCTAGTGTTTGATTACTTAACTGCAGTTATGTTTATCTGTCTCTTACCAAACATTGTATTTTTTCCATCTATCTATAAAGCATCAAACAAAGGATTCTGGAAATGTGATGTGACAGAGTGGATAATCTAGAATAAACAGTACTGTTGCTGCTTTACTTACAGCAATGATTGTATAGACTGACATTCTCTCTAATGTTGTAGAATGATAGTGCTAAAAGTCAGGTTTGAATGTAAAACTAAACTGTAAATTTAGAAGGAAGCCAGTTTAATGAACATAGTTGGTAGAAGATGTTTGAGATGAAGAAATTGTTTCAGCTATCTAATGTTTGTTTTAATTCTGTTTCAGAACACACTGCTTTTGCAGAGGGCAGCAAGTTGATACAAGAGCAGGTTCCCCACAGGAAAGAAAATAAAAGCTCTTGGAGCAACTAATTAAGGTAAACAGATTGCAGTGGATTTCTGGATGGGTAAGTATTGATGAGCAGGGTATTTCTACTTCCTGTATTTCTCTTCCTCTATAAAAGATTTATAAAAGAGCACAGAAGACGACTTCTGGGCTTTCATAGAAGCTCAGTGATGTCACATGCTAGTGTATACTCCGAGACATACCCAAATTGTCACATAACTATGTCTGTATTTTTTCTTGTTGTGTATTATCAAGATCAATTTAATTTACTGATTTTTTTTTTGTTTGTTTGTTTTAGTACAGATGTTTTTTAGGGAGATCTTGGGTCCTTTACCACTGATTATATACTGGTTTGGAATTATGGGTACAGAAGTTGTATATCTAGGTTGCTTTTTATAATTTTTTAATTCATGGTAGAATTGACAATTATAAACAACAGACTCCCCAAATTGAACAATTACTAAAAGCAAACAGAAACCCCCAGGCACAGTAGCTGTTGGGAAGGAGCCTGAAGAAGCATCACTTGCTGTTAAAAAGAAGAGATAAAGTTGTTGAAAGCTGCAGCGGAACATGAGGTAGTAAGTCAGGACCTCAAGTGAGCTGCCTCTGATGGTGGCTAGAAGTGAGAGGTTGCTGTGCACCTTCTGCTGCTCAATAATGTATCTGTTCTCGTCATGTGCAGTGGTTCCATACCTCTTTTGCTGACTTCCGTGTTGCAGTTATATTGGGGTCACCTAAGAAGCTTTGGCAGAATGGGATTGGGGGAGAATCAGTTGAATGTCAAAAGTTGTTAATATGCAAAATGGAGTTGCCTTTTTTTTTTTTTTTTTTGCTAGGCATTTAGATATGCGCCTCAGTCTTTTATGGTATAAACTTACAGATATTGAAACTCTTGCAACATTTCTAATAGGAATGAAATTTAATAGGGATTAAAATTTTCTTTCTGCATGTCGTAACTTTTGTTCTTGCTTTGCAAGCAGTGTTACAGGATCATTGTCTGTATGTGGGTGGGAAAGGGACTGAGAAATCAGGATCATGTAATAAATACCATCAAAAATTATATTTCTTGTGTATGTACATATTGCTAAACATACTGTTGTGTAACTATTGTATGGGAAGAGTTGGTTATGGCAGAAATTTTTTGCTAGTATAGGATTAGGAAGATTTAAGACAATCAAAGAAGAGTATAGAGAAACTTTGTTTCTTCTGTACATGATCTCAGGAATAAAACAAAGTAAAACTTTGTAGAACTATTAATTCTGTAGTTATTTTTAAGAACTGTTATTGGAAAGTTATATCTTACTCTGAAGTTGGGTGTGTTTTTTCTTGCTTTTTTTTTTTGTTAAACAGCAGATCTGGAATGGACACGAGTCCTCTGGGAGGATTAGAACTGTCTGAACACACTCCTGGTCTACTAGGGAATACCACCATGGCAGCAGGTCTTGCAAATGTAGGAAATACATTTGGAGGTCCACCAAGTTCTTTAGTTTCTAGACCTAGTAAATTCCAAAATTCGCCTATAGAAGATGATGATGACGTAGTTTTTATTGAACCTATACAACCTCCGCAAAATTCCACGTCACTGATAGCAGATCAAAGGAACACTGCATTTACATCATCAAGAAATGAAGAACTTCAAGGGAATGATTGCAAAATGCTTCCTCCTCCAAAAGACTTAAATTCTCAAAAGGGGAGTATAAGTGAAACTATTATTATTGATGATGAAGAAGACATCGAAACAAATCAAGGACAAGAGAAGAATGCTTCCAGTTTTAATGAACGAAAACTTCCAGAGTGTAAAAATAGAACCAACGATATGGAATTCTCAGCTTCCAGTTTTTCAAGAAGTAAGGTAAATTCAGGAATAGGTAATAGTGGTATAACCACAGAACCAGACTCTGAAATTCAGATTGCTAATGTTACTACATTAGAAACAGGTGCTATGAGCTCTGTGAGTGATGGTCATTTAGAAAATGCTGAAGGGCATGACATGAACTTAATGATTACACATGTTACATCACTGCAGAATGCCAACTTGGGAGATGTATCTAACGGACTGCAGTCAAGTAATTTTGGTGTTAATATGCAAACATACACCCCATCTTTGACTTCACAGACCAAGACTGGTGTAGGACCTTTCAATCCTGGTAGAATGAACGTGGCTGGAGATGTATTTCAAAATGGAGAATCTGTGACTCATCATAATCCTGGTAAGTTGCAATTCTGAATGTTTCCTTAAAAGCTTAAAATAAATAACAGGATGTTTATTAAAATATTTTTGGCAGTGGCACTGCTTAGTTTTTAGCTTAATTCATATGGGAGATCTTGGTTTCCTTCATGCCCATCACAACCGTATCTGTGACCCTGGAATAAAATATGCTCAGTGACGTAATGTGTCAGGTAGGTAAACTATCCCAGTTTAGCAGTTAGTGATATCTTCAGGTGTTTTGAGACGCAAGTATTTGTATTTAAAGCAAAGCTTGCTTTCTGACTTGTGTAATCCTTTAACTGACACAAATAAAGGTTACTGTATCTATGTAACTTTTGTACCTTTTTATGCAGTTCTATGAGTAGTATAATGCATCAAAGTTATTTAAGTAGTATTTTACTGATCTTTTGTCTTCCCATCTGAATGTAATTTGACATGCAAAAAACCTGCATTTGAAAGTCTGATCTTAAGTTGTAAGTAGCTAGCTGTCGTAATTCATTACCTACCAAGCAATTTTCAGTATTTACAGTTCTTAACAAAACGGGTTCCAAGTTACTTGTGGGCTCGTATATTCTTGCAGCAAATTATATACACTTTATAATTGCTATTTATCACCTGTGATAATATGTATTTATATCGTACAATATTAATTAGTTTGAATTGGCTGGTTTTGTTCTATATCTTCGTGTAAGTAGCAGTATATTGTCTCCTGATTTAGCAAGTTAACAGGCATTGCTAAAAGCCAAATGGAGCAGACATGAATGGTCTTCTGGAATTGCTAGTCTACAGAATTTAAGGTACCACACAAGCAATTTAAAACCTTCCAAGTTCCAACATAAACTGGTACTCTGCTGCCCTGTTAGGCTAGAAGTGGGGGAACGACTTTACTACAGGTTTAACTTAAGACTAGTTAGGATCATTTTAAAAGGAACATTTAAAACAATTAGAATCTAGGTACAGTAAACCCTTGTTAATGCACAACATCTTAACTTGCTTATATGCTGATTAAAACACATAGATTTCCTTTTTTACCTGTTTTTCAATGAATATTTAAATAGTACAGCTCTTCAACTTGGTCATATATTACCAAGTGTATTTTTGCAAAATCATTAATACCTTTCATATTGTATTATGGGAATGGCAGTATGAAGCTAGGCTTTAAGTAAGATGTTAGGTTGTGGTTTTCTTGTGTTAATCGTGAAACTGATTTCAAAATTTAAATTCTGAAGTTGAAAGCTGGGAACTTTTTATAGTCTGGATGTCTCACTGAATAATTTAGAAATTCAGTTCCTAATCTTTTAAAACCAACATTCCCACTATTGCTAGTTGATGTCTTAGACATGGAGTATGATTACTGTGTTATCGCAGATGGTCAAGTAGTTGTGAATGAGAACTTCAAGCATTTGTTACCTTAAAGTAGTGCCTTTGTTTTTCTTGTGGAAAGTGCATCTTAAGAAAACCGGCATGTGCTTTCCCTTAAACTACCAAACTTTTATTTTTGGCGTGATTAACAGATACACACCAGAATTTTGCCAGTACGAAGTCTGATAGGCTGGGACCATAGCAGTATTGAAATAGATCGAGTTCAGAGAGACAGGAATAGTGGCTGGGAGTCCTTCTAGGGCCTTGATAAAAAAGACTCACTCAGAAAGGAGGGAAAAAAAGGTTTACAAGTGGATATGAGAGATGTATTTCAAGGTGTACATATATAGGGATTTTTTTTATGGCTATGGTCTTTGTATGTGAAAAATAATGAGCAGTGGGTTCAAAAGGAAGTAGGAAGTGCTGTCACAGGTAAAAGGGAAGGAGAAAAGTACCAAACGAGAAGAATTTAGAGAAGTGACAACATGAGAAGAAGAAACGAGGAGGAAAGAGGGAAGACAGCAATAGTGAAAATGGCTTTTACGCAAGAAAAAGCATGAAACACGGTAGGTGTGGATTATTTACAGGTTTTTGTACTTAACAAAGACGTAAAAGAAAGGTTTTTCAAGACGTAAGTTTCAATTTTTTTCTTTTTCCCCTGGAAGCTGCCTCTTTTTCTTCTAGAAAATCTTGTCAGTACAAGTTAACCCTGCCTGTTAGAAACTTTGATAATATGACAGGAAACATTTGATCTTAACTATGTTTAATATATTCTACACAATTCCAGTCTAAGATTGCTAAGGATAGATTCATTTTTTCTGGAGCAGCGGTGTTCCATCTGTTCTGATCTCTAGATTTCTAAAATATTTCCAACGGACGTGGAGACTCCTGCTTAGTTAATTTAAGCCTACTGATGATAAAAATGCTTTGATTTATGTAATTTGAAGATCATGGATCAAAAAACACTGCTTATAGTTCAGAAATAGGATGTAAGAAGTCAGATAGCAAACTTTGTTTTCAGATACCATAACTTTCTTCAGGGATTTGCTAGTTAGCACTTGTTGATTGTCAAAACTTGTGTAAGGACATAATACATCAGTTTATAGAGCAGTTCTGCAAATCTCAGAACTATTCCATTACCTGAAGACATTCTAGCTTGCATCTTGGACAAGACCTATTATTCATGTTTGCTTCCTATATAGAGGATTAGAAGCCTTGAAGATGCAAACATGTATTGTTTCCTGATACTTCGGGTTTTTTCCCTAGTGACAAAGGAATTAGGACATGTGAGATCTAAATGTTGTTAGAAAAATGGTAGTTGTTGGTAGTGAGGCTCTGGCAAATACATTATATGTATGTCAGAAATAGTGTGGCCAGCAGGACTAGGGAAGTGATCATCTCCTGTCCTCAGCACTGGTGAGGCTGCACCTCGAATACTGTGTCCAGTTTTGGGCCCCTCACTACAAGAAAGACATTGAGGTGCTGGAGTGCATCCAGAGAAGGGCAACAAAGCTGGTGAGGGGTCTGGAGCACAAGTCTCATGAGGAGTGGCTGAGGAAACTGGGGTTGTTTAGCCTGGAGAAGAGAAGGCTGAGGCTCCCCTTACCGCCCTCTACAACTACCTGAAAGGAGGTTGTAGTGAGGTGGGGGTCGGCCTCTTCTCCCAAGTAACAAGCAATAGGACAAGGGGAAATGGCCTCAAGTTGTGCCAGGGGAGGTTTAGGTTGGATATTAAGATCAGTTTCTTCACTGAAAGGGTTGTCAAGCATTGGAATGGGCTGCCCAGGGAAGTGGTTGAGTCCCCATCCCTGGGGGTATTTAAAAGATGGGTAGATGTGGTGCTTAGAGACATGGTTTAGGGGTGGACTTGGCAGTGTTAAGTTTACAGTTGCATTTGATATTAAGGGTCTTTTACAACCTAACTGATTCTATGATTCTGTATGTGGTTTGGAAGACTTCTTCTGGATCAGTGTTCATCTGTTGCCCTCAGCTAAGTGCCTCCACTCTATGGGAAGCAGTAGGTGCATAATAGAGAAGCTTCTGTCCAACACATTAGTATAGAATGTAACATCACCAGTAAGCACTGGAGTACATTTGATAGAATGGTTTGGTTTGGAAGGGATGTTTAAAGATCATCTAGTCCAACCACCCTTCCATGGGCAAGGACCTCTTCCACTAGGTCAGGTTGCTCAAAGCCCCATCCAATCTGACTGAATGCTTCCAGTGTTGGGGCATTCACAACTTCTTTGGGCAACCAGTGTCTTTCCACCCTCATCATAAAAGAATTTTTTCCTCATGTCCAATCTAAATCAACCCTCTTTCAGTTTAAAACTGTTGCCCCCTGCTCTGTCACTACAGGTCTTGGTAAAAATAGCTCTCCATCTTATAAGCCCCCTCTATAAATTGAAGTGCCACAATAAGGTCTCCCCAGAGCCTTCTCTTCTGCAGGCTGAACAACCACAACTCTCTTTGTCTTTCTTCACAGGAGAGGTGTTAACAGCCGTCTGTCATTTTTTTGTGGCCCTGCTCTAACAGGCCCATGTCTGTCTTGTCCTGGGGACCCCAGAGCTGGACATAGTACTCCAGGTGGGGTCTCACCAGAGCAGAGTAGAGGGGCAGAATCACCTCCCTCAACCTGCTGGTTATACTTCTCTTGATGTGGCCCACAATACAGTTGGCTTTCTGAGCTGCAAGCACACATTGCTGGCTCATGTCCAGTCTTTCATCCAGCAGCACCCCCCAGTCCTCCTCCACAGGGCTTCTCTCAATCTATTAACCTGTCAGTTTGTATTCATATAGAGGATTGCCCTGACCCAGGTGAAAGATGTTGCACTTGGCCTTGTTGAGCTTCATGAGGTTCATGTGGGCCCATTCCTCAAGCCTACCAAGGTCCATCTGTATGGCATCCCTTCCCTCTAGCTTATCAACTGCACCGCTGAGTTTGGTGTTATCTGTAAACTTGCTGAAGGTGCAGTTAATCCCAATGTCTGTGATATTGATGAAGATACTAAATAGTATCAGTTCCAGTACAGACCCTTGAGGGACACAGCTCCTTACTGGTTTCCACTTGGACATTGAACTGTTAACTGTAATTCTTTGCATGCAGTCATCTAGCCAATTCCTTGTCCATCAAAATCCATATGTCTCCAATTTAGCAGCAAGAATGTTGTGGGGGGCCATATCAAAGGCCTTGGAGAAGTCCAGGCAGATGAATAGAAGCCCATGTAGATGAGTTTCAGGTGCTTTTGGACTGGATGGAATCTGGGTTTTGTGCATCAAAACAGCTCTAAAACCAGAACCAATACATAGTAAATGGAGGATGCAGTTCAGAATTGCCCTGACCTGAACCAGGTCATTGATGCAGATTTAGCTGAATATGTTTCAAGAGCTGCATATCTCTCTAAAACTTTATTGCTGTCTTCCTCCCTACTTCTGCCCCAAGTTGTGCTGATACAGTTTTTTCAGCTTTTTTTCTTTAAAAGACGTAATTTCATTGCGCTGTTTTCTGCAAGATGGCTCCACAAATAAATGTATTGATGCAAATAAGAGTTAGGAATAATCTTACAGCAGTTTAGAGAAGGAATGAGTGTGAAAGAATGGGAACACCCTGAACAGCCATTATAGTAAGAAGAAATTGCACATGAAATTGTACAGTCTCATAAACTTGGACATTAAAGAATTGCAGCTAGGAACCTGAAAGATGAAGATGTAAGGGCAGTAAGTCATGGAAACTCATCAGGAATCAACTAAGGAAATGTGATACACCTTCTCAGTTTAAGGACATGAAAAACAGATTTTACAGATCCTTTGTAGAGAGTATGAAGTGGAGGAGGTAACACAGTTAAGTGAGATGTGAAGAAAAGTCACAATATAAAAATTAAAGTCTGCGAAGGTGTGGTGTGGAAGAAGTGAAAGCAAAAAAAAGGAAAGGCAAGAAGATCTTTAGATGTTCTTGTGGTATGTTTGTGAAAGGAGAAATACAACAAAATGTCAATTAAGGAAGGCTGTCTGAAGCCATAAGATACTAAGGAAATACTGAAATAATCTCAACGAGTACTAGGAAGTCATGGTGAAAGTTTCAAACCCAAATGAGCTTAGGAAACTCAAGTTTTCATGAGTGGCAGTTGAGTGTTGCTGGAATTACAAGCGCGTGTAACTTAACGGGAATATGTATCATGTTCAGTAAAAAGATACAATGTGCTCCCACTTGAAACCCATGAGAAAAGAGGAGAATCTCAAAACATTTTGAGGAGTTAAGGTGTTACCAGGACATGAATATATTTGAGGTAGCAGGTAAAATAGTATAGAAAAGTTTGAAGAGAGCAGAGAAGTGAATTTTAACTTTAAGCACTGCGGTAACATATCTTGTCAGTATGGATACTCATGCCTTCAAAGGTAAACTTTAACGGTTGCGAGAGGAATGTGTTTTGTTCTGCTTCCTTTCCCTCTTCCCCTCACCTCTTTGTTCCAGCCCTTCTATTTACCCTCAACCATTACAGTGGGTAAATTTCCAACTTAACCTTGCATGTCTGAGAAATAGGACATCCTTGACAGCTACAAAGTGACACCAGAAGATGATCTTCTACTTGCTAAGGAATGTACGTTGTTTGTTGCTGTAACAAGGGTTCTTGGAACTTTGTCCCTAAAACTAATTCTAAAACTATGCAGCAGAATATGTTGTTAATAAAACCCTCTTGGGGAAAGAGAGGACTTCAGAAAATAGTATGAGGAAAGGGTGCCTTCTAATGAAATAATGGTTATGGGCCAAGATAATGACCCATAAGGATAAGGTGTGGGCAGTTGCTGAAGTCTATAGGTCAAGGTTTTTGTTACCTGAAGTTACAGAATTTAAAATAATCTTTTTTTATATTTGATTGTTAATACTAGTTGTAATAACACTCCAGGAATACACTGAGTTACTGCAGTAAGACATTCAAGGCTTAGTATTTTTATTTAGTTACAGTAAATCCTGTGTTTCGTCTTTAAAGTAAAGTACTACCCAACACAGTGATATTTATGCAAGTGTTTACTATTCAGTACGTAACAGTGAAGTATGATTCTAGATGCTGGGAATATAAAGCTTGAAAGGTAAGTCCCAGGTGCTGTAACAGTATCTGAGATAGCTGACACATACTACTGGAAATGTGTATAAATGTGTTTTATAATGGAAAGTTCCTTCCTGTTCAGGTTTTAATTCAATATTAAATAATGTATCATTCTTGGCATTCTTCAGAAACTTAATGTTCCTAAAGTCTGGTGATAATTATTTGAAATGAAAGTTTAAATTCCAGAGAAACGCATAGAAACTACATTTTATTATTGTTTTAGGTTTTGTTTTGTTTTTTTTTTTCCCCCCAGAGCTGTATGTTCTGCTCCACGCCAAGATACCAAACATGTAATTTAACAGAAGCATGTGGCCATTCTAGATGTATTCCTGTTGGATAAAAAGTTTTACTTGAGTTCTTGTTCTGCAAGTTACTCTGTAGCATGTTACGTTACAAAAGATTGGGCAAAGATGACTTTGTTCCATAGTAGTCTATTGTCCAAAAATACAGATGGAAGACTAGTGAAATCTGGAACACAGGGACATGGATTTGTGTACTGCCAGAACTTAATGAAATATTATCTTCTAGGTTCATTGATTTCTACTGAGGAAGACTTGGAACTCTCATGACTTTGCCAGTTTGCACATTAAGTGGTATTCACTGCACTGAAAAGGTTATTGGGGGAAAAAAAAAAAACAAACAAACCAGGAGCTCTCAAATGGATCAGTGACACAGATCCCATATATGGAGCCACTGTGCTTTGCTCTTACTGCAGTATAGTTCTCTGGCTGCAGGCTGGACTAGGAAACTAGTATGGGGAACCCCACTCTAGGGTTTATTACTGAGGCCAGATACATGAACTTCTACAGATGCTTGTTAAAGCTGTACAGCAAAATAACTAATGGAAATATAAAATTTCTTACTAATTTGCAGAGTTTATATCTCAAACCTTAGTTTAGAAATTCCATGTTTTCTGTTGGTCTCCTTTTTTTTAATTACAATTGGTAATTGCAGTTTTGTTTATCTGAGGATAAAATTGCCAGTTTGCAAACACAGTGCAAGTGAATTGAGGTCTGCAAGACTTGTTGCTAGATGTAGGATGGGACCACGTTGAATTTGTTCATGTTCCGAAGCTTTGTAACAATGGAGAATGGTACCATGAAATAGCATTTTTACTTTTACCGAAATTTCTAAAATATCTTCCTTCTGTTAATTGTCAGTTCCAACAGAAAAATGATTTTTATGATCATATATCTGTGAATATTATTCTGTATATATGTACATGGCTGTTCACTTATTTTTTATGTATGTTTGTTTGGTTTTTGTCTTGAAGATTCTTGGATATCCCAGTCAGCTTCCTTCCCTAGGAATCAGAAGCAACCAGGTGTGGATTCCTTGTCACCTGTAGCATCACTTCCTAAACAGATTTTCCAGCCTTCTGCCCAGCAGCAGCCTTCTAAACAGGTTAAAGTCACATGTGCAAACTGCAAAAAACCTTTACAAAAGGGACAGACTGCATATCAGCGAAAAGGATCAGCTCACCTTTTTTGTTCTACTACCTGCCTCTCATCATTCTCACACAAACCCACTCCAAAGAAACTTTGTGTTATGTGCAGAAAGTAAGGGATTTTTAAATTTTGTTTCATATTAGCAGCTAAATCCAGTAATACTTGAGATTCTCATGCATGTATGAGAATTGCTCCCTTAATGATACAAAGTCTGGCTATACAAGTAGTTTATGTAGTGTCACTTAATGTTGTTTGGAAATGTTGGATTCACTGTGTCTGCTATAACAAAAAGTCTATCAGCTTTTGAATTCAGAGTATGGCAGATTGTTGCTATGAAAGCCAATACACTAAAAATTACTATTTTTTTGTTTGTTTTTTGAAGACAAGGTGTCCGAGTTATAATATATTGTGTGGCAAGACATAGTCTTTACATCTAAAGTCCTTTAAGAAAAAAAGTGGACCTTGTGTTGTATAGAAAGCATTCATTTTGATAGATGAAGATGTAAAATTGAGAGGCTTTAAAAGGAGGAGAAACTTGATACTTGCAAGAAACTGGAAGAAATATGGGAGCTCTTTCACTATTGGCTCTGTGGGGAGAGGAGAAGCCTTAGGTTTTCCCCACAGTTGGGGGCAACTATGGCGACTTTTGAAGCTGAAGGTCCCTTAAGAGGGCAGTTCAGAGGGAGTGACAAGCATACCTAGAAGTGGCTTATTCTAAATTATTGGTTAGGTTTGACTTGTAATTTTTCATTATTTCCCAAACTTTAAATTCCCAGAGAGAAGTCTTCCATAATTGTAGTATTATAGAATCATAGAATGTTTTGGGTAGGAAGGGACCCCTAGAGGTCATCTGGTCCAACCCCCCTGCAGTGAGCAGGGACATCTTCAACTGTATCAGGTTGCTCAGAGCCCCGTCCAACCTGGTCTTGAATGTTTCCAGGGATGGGGCCTCCACTGCCTCCGTGGGCAACCTGTTTCAGTGTTTCACCACCCTCATTGTAAAGAATTTGTTCCTTATATCCAGTCTAAACCTACCCTGCTTCAGTTTAAAACCATTAGCCCTTGTCCTGTCGCAGCTGGCCCTACTAAAAAGATTGTCCCCATCTTTCCTATAGGCCCTCTTTAAGTACTGAAAGGCCACAATCAGGTCTCCCCGCAGCCTTCTGAACAAGCCCAACTCTCTCAGCCTGTCCTCATAGGAGAGGTGCTCCGGCCCTCGGATCATTTTAGTAGCCCTCCTCTGGACCCGTTCCAACAGTTCCATGTCCTTGTGCTGAGGGCTCCAGAGCTGGATGCAGGACTCATAGTGTTAGGTATTCAAAATAGCTGTACTGTCTTTTTCTTTCAGTGTCCTGATTACTGAGATACTTGCACTTTTTTGTATTTTTTTCAGTAAAGTCTCAATCCAGTACACTCTGCAGTGACACTGGTTAGATGATGAATTCTTGCTGGAATAAAGAAGGCTTGCAGTAAAGACTGCCTTCTTTAGTGTATGTTTTGGAGAGGGTGGTCTTTGTTCAATTGCAAATTTAAACTAGTGAAAAAGTTTTGCTTGAGCATGCAGTGTGGTGGACTAATGGCTAGTATTCAGATGTAAGCTAGTGATCTGAGTATTTCTCTTGTTTGTGGGTTTTTTCCCCTTGAGACTCAGTAAAAATAGACTATAGCAAGTATTGATATCCTGTGTATTCATACCTTGGTACACTGAAAACCTAGAAGTTTTAGCTTTTTTAAAATACATGTAAAAGCTCAAATTCTCTCAACCCTTGCTTTTATAGAGATAGTTAAAAGCACTCTGCTCTGTAGGCTTGTACGTGTTTATACACTTTTTTTTTTAGAAGTAATCTGGTGCTTACCATATTCAGCTAGCTGTATATAAAGATGAAGATTAGACTAATCTTTGCATTTCTGGCTGAAATCTTGAAAATTCATGGCTAAATCTGTGCTCTCTTGCAACTTCTGAGATACTTATCTATGTATTTTAAGAGGCTAGATAAAAAACTGCCTTAAATGAAAAGGCTTTATTTTTGAATGATAAGGAAAATACCTTATTTCTAGCTTTTGGGGTTACTTAAAATAGTTCATTTAATGTATTTGATTTCTAGAGAACCTCTGTGAAGTCACCTTTGACAGTTTTTGAGGTGATGTTGGTTTTCGCTCTTCCACTAGTATGCAGTTGCTTACTCAATCACAGTTAAATAGAAGGCAATACATGCATTAGACTGTTACTCTGCAGCATGGCTTCATTGTGAAGCCCAATCTTACCCAGCCTTTTTTGCTTTATTACCAAATTTTTGCTACCTGGTGGTAGCAAATCAGGTACTCTCTGATCCATACTTGCTTCATTGCTTTTTTCCTACTAAAGCAGACATGGTATTGTCAGATTGCAGTTCAGTGAAAGCATAAGGGAACTTTAGCAAAATCCAGGAGATCTATCATCTCTCCAATGTACATTCAAGTAGTTGATATGTCATAGGTCAGACTTTCAGAGGTTACGCTCAGATTTATCTTTTAAGGATGTAGATTACTTTAAGTGGAAAAAGTGAAGCCTACAATAACTTTTTAAAAAGATTGTATAACTCCACCTGAAAAGTCAGAACTCTTATGTATGTTATTGTAAACCACTTTTCTAGCACTCTTCTGAACCTTTGTAACTACATAAATGGCGTAGGAATTATTACAAGAAGGAAGTTATAGGAAGTATCTGGCATTCTCCTTAGTGTTTATAATTTCTATTGACTTGTGTTACTCCTTTTGACTTTGCACTTGCGTCCTTTGATACAAGTTAATATGTGTTTTGATAAAAGTTAGTAGTGTTTATAAGTCCTGGTGGAATCCAGCCAGAAACTGTAAGCTCCTCAGGGCAGGAACTCTGGCTTTGTTTTGCAGAACAGAAGTGATAACACTCCCCAACACAAATGCTTACTAGCTTGCCAAAGGGCAAGCCAAAATTTGCTGACTTTCCTTTGATGGAAGAAGGCAGGCTGGCAAGTATTAATATCCAGGGGCAATACAAGTTTATTTTCAAGGGAATCTGTCTAGGGAAGCATACAACATTTTTCCAATGTTTTCCACTCATCCTAGTTTTAGGGCTCCTAGGTATGAGTGTCTGGGTCATGTCTTTTCCAACTGGTGATTCATAATGATGTCAATAGAGATCCAGACTTGTCCAATCAATTTTTTATTTTCTGCCCAATAGCATTTCCTGTATGTCAATAATGGGTTTTTTTTACTTGAAGGGCAAAGGGGGAGGTTTTTATTTCTTCTTACTTAGTGCTTCTAATTTATGGTATGTGATAGTTTGGGATTAAGAATGAAACTACCTTCGAAATAGCCTTAGAAGTTTGGGAGAGCTGATCACAAAGGTGCACTGACACGCACGGTGTTAGCAGCTTTGCTAACAGGTAGGGTGTGCAGCATATAATTGAAGATCAAGGAAGTCTAGAACTAACTTCAGTGAAAAAAAAGTGTAAGTCAGTTTGGTTAGAAGAAGGTTTGTTCTATTTCAAATTATTTTTATTGTTGGTTGCTTGTCTGGTTTAATGCGTTCAATTGGTGCAGTTTCATGGGCAACTGCATGAACTGTTCCAGTGCTTTGGAACTTTAAAGTAATGACAGAATTAACTTCTTTTTAAAATTTCAAATTACAAAACTTCTAGGCAAGCTTGTGGTAGAGTTTTAAGCTTTTTGGTTATATTTATAAGTGTGAGAGAACAACCTTCTCACCTCCCCTCATCCTATCCTGAGATTAATACTGGAAATGGTGGAATTACATACAAATAAAAAAAAATCTTGCCTTTTACTGTATATCTGAATTTTTCATATGAAACTTCATATATAGCTTTTGTGTGAAGTTACAAAAGCACTAGTTTAAATTTGCTGTGTTAATTTTTTGTATAAGATTGAGTAGGCCACAGCTGGTACCTAATGGTGCATTAACGTCACTTAGTTCTAGAATAAGGTAATGGGGAAAAAAAGAAATTCAAACAAAAAAAGGGTTTTTACCCAGGGAAGTCCGCGTATTTGCAGTAGTTATATTACTAAACTTAGTGCTTCCGTGTGACTAACAACTGTACACCCACAAAACAGGATGAATCTTACAACATGTATGCTTGTTTAAATACATATATGTATTTATACGCAAGCACACTAGAGGTTTTTTTTTTTTTGTCTTTCAGAGATATAACAACAATGAAAGGTACCATTGTTGCTCAAGTTGATTCAAGTGAGTCTTTCCAGGAGTTTTGCAGTACATCGTGTTTATCCTTTTATGAAGATAAACAGAATCCCTCAAAAGGAGTTTTGAATAAATCAAGATGCACTATCTGTGGTAAACTAACTGAGGTCTGGTTGACTGGTTTTTTTTCTCTTTCTTAGTAATGACGATATTAATAACTTATATTCTGAAATAAGAACTGAAAATAAGGAAGTTTAAAATATGATTCAGTATTTTTTTATGTAGCAAGATACTAAGATATGCAGGCTTAATATTCATGAAGAGCAACTGAAGGAAGAAAGAATTCAAAGAGGTTAATATTTGATTTTTGTTTCAGAAACCTGAAGTGCATTTTGCTGATATCTTGTAGCTACTGTCAACAATTTTATTAGGTGTGGAAACTTGTAACTATAACCCAGATCTCCCACACAGAAGAATTGCTGTTAAAAAAGTCAAGATTTACTGTATCTGTCCTTTTTACTGTATATCTTGAAAGATTATGCAAATGTTTTTAGAGATACGTAGAATATATGTAACTTCAAATTCTCATTAATGTATTAATTTACTCTTGATGCCATTGCTGGGCCCACTGTAGTTCAGGCTACTACTTTACACAGCGTATGTATCTGGTCAGTCTTATATGCCATGTTGTTAGCCTGCAAATTGAGTATTTTATAAAATTGCATAAATTGACCTTCTGCTCTAATATGCAATTACTACATTCTTCCCTGTGATCTTTGCTTCTGGGCTACAAGAACAAGTGGGTCCCAAGATTTTTTTCCTAGAACTCTGGAGACAACAAACACTAATTTCTGTTTCTATATTTCATGTTCATTTTAAGCATTTGTGTTCTTAAATAGTGAGCTACTATGATCTGATTTTAGTTACTGTACTTGAATGTAAGACTTTTGGCTTGTCTAGTAATTTCAGGCAACTTTATGCTTGTGTGGTGATGGAATACTGTTTTTGTTTTTATTTTTTAGATTCGTCATGAAGTTAGCTTTAAAAATATGACTCACAAGCTGTGTAGTGACCATTGCTTCAATAGATACAGGATGGCGAATGGTTTAATAATGAATTGCTGTGAGCATTGCGGGGAGTATTTGCCCAGTAAAGGAGCTGGAAACAATGTTCTTACTATTGATGGTCAGCAGAAAAGATTCTGTTGTCAGAACTGCGTTGGTGAATACAAGCAGGTAATTACTACTTTACCTATAAATTACAATTAAATAAACATTAATATTCCTTAAATTTATCCTGTTATTCATAACATGGTTTTACTTCTCATTAGAAGTCTTAAATAACAAAGACTTCTAAAAATTAAATTAATTCCAGTGAGGGCAGGCTAGCGGGAATGGACTTTTTACTACTGGCTTTTTTTCATGTTGCTGTAATAGCAATTCCTATTTGTTATTAATGAAAATATCATTAAAATTAAACTTCCTATTAATAATTTCTCTTTCTTTCTAACGGGTATATCACGAGTATATTAATAGCAAGCCCCGCACACAAGCTTACTGGTCTTTAAGTGAATGTTCTCTTTTAGATATAAAAGTTCACTTGTATGCAGTTAAAACATTCAAAAATGTGCAGAGCATACAGATTGGATATTGCTGTGAGAATGCTCTAACTGGTTACTTGTTGGCAGTGTACCTGTAGTATGTCTACTTTCCTTCACTGTACAGCATAGGATTTCAAAATGTATTGTTACTTTCATCCTTCCACATGTTAAATTTTATGCTTTTGTTTTCTTTACTTGGTTTGGTTTTTATTTATTCTGAAGACCATTAAGATAGCAGTAATTGTTGTGGTTAAAAATAATTCCAAATCAAGAAACCTGATGCTTGATGTCTTTTATGTATTACAGAGCCAGCTTAGCTCTGAACCATTGCTAATGCTGACTGGAAGGTTTAAACATTAATCACAGTATTTATGGTATAGTAGGATAGCTCTAAAATATTAAATGTTTTGGGGGAGGATATGCAGTTTTGTTCTGTTTTGTTTTTCTTTTTGCTTGGTACATTCTGCTCTGAGTTTGTAGGGATAGTGTTATGAAATATGAAAGTTTTACTAGTAAGAAATTCCTTTATCTGATTCTGAATTTCATGCTTGAATGTGAGTGGCCCCAGTGCTGCACATTGCTTTGGGTTCTTTCTTCATCTCTTTCCATTTTTAAGAAACCAATGATCCAAGAGAAAAGGGAGTGTGGTGCTGAATATTTTTAAATTTTTTGATGTTGCATCATGTATGTTTGTATTTTCTCTTTGGACATTCAGTTTTAATACTTTTGGGGATGGCTATTCTTGTGTATATGCAATGTGCAAACAGCAAATCTGGAAACGTGCATATGTAAACAGCGTAACTGAAAACATAACATAAGCGTTATTCTTTTGTCACAGCTATACCAAAAGGGACAGGATAGGTTTCCAAGATACTAAAAACATAGTCATGCCCAGAAGCCATGGAAAGACTTGAAGAAACGTTGAATACTGTCTCTCGAAGAAACAAAAAGGCATGAGATTAACTTTGAACTTGAGACATTCCCACACAACCAGTATAACATGCACTGCACATGGAATTATGAAATGAACGTGGAATTTGAGAGGTCGAATGATAAATCTGTACTTAACTCTCATTACAGACTGTACTCTATTTGTCCAGATATTTTTGTATTTTGTGTTTAGATATGTATTTGGGAATTAGAAGGATATGGGTAGCAAGTTGTATGTTCTGGTTTGATTTGGGGTGGATGAGCAGTTTGCAGTACCAGGAATCTTCACAAGTAGTGTCGGGTTATTGTGCATTATTGTGAGGATCTTTATTAAGAGAACCTTTAAAATTGAGACACATTGTTTTGGTGCATTCAATTCTGACAGCAGACTTTGTTCAAGCAAGTTCTTAAATCTTTTGTGGAACTGTTTGGTACTGGGGAACTGTAATAGGCTGTGAGAAGCTTAATTCTAGTGCTCATGTGCATCTGGTTTGGAGTGGTGATTAACTGATAGGTTTGAAATCCTATCCTACTCCTATTTGGAGTGTGGGGGTTTGGGGGTATTTTTGATATTAAGAGAAACTCAAACTATAAATTAGGCTTTTTTTAGCGTTTGTTGTTGTAGGTGCCAAAGTTGTTCAGGATACAATTATTTGAGAATATTTAGTTCTCTACCAGGACTTATTCAGGTTTGAACTTCCATTTGCATTAAGGTTTTTTGAACTGAATGTATTCAAGGAATTCTGTTTTTATAAAAGGAACTTAGACTTTGGAAAATGTTACTGACAACTCATTGGGCCACAACTGGTAAATTGTAGGTTGCTTTATTCAGTTGTAACAATGTTTTCTTTGAAAATTTTTATTAGATCTTGCTTTTAAAGGAGAACCGGTGAAGGAGAGAATATGAGAGTCACTATTACATACTGAAATAAACTCAATGGAATCAATAATACAGGAAAAGTTGATGTATCATTTCATTACAGCATTGTGTTGTACAACCGATTACCGTGTGTCACGTAACAGTTTTAGCAAATGTTTTCTTACAAACAGTTGTAAAATACATAGGTCTTACTGGTATGAGCTTTGTATTAAGCAGTTTCTATTGTAAATGTCGTACACCTATCAATATGCTATACATTTGTAGTAGTAATAAACGAAAACTGATTCTTATTACTTGTACCTATCTATATACTTAATCCCTATTTTTTTAAATAAATATTACACTGATTTGAACAATTAATTTTCAGTAACTTATCATGGACATTTTTTCTTCCTGGAATGAAAAAATTAAGATTGTGGGTAATAAAAATTCCTGTGGCTCTTGGAAGAGCCACTGACTGCAAATAATCTATCCGCTACAAAGGGTTTCTTTCCTCTGCTTTAGGCTGTTGGTGGGAGTAAGAAACAGATTTATTCCTGGGATGCGGAGTAGGTTTTTTTCTGAAGTGCCTAAGTCACCTTTCAAGGTGATGGATGCACTTAGCTTTCTACATAACAGTTTCAGAACTTGATTTAAAATGGAGACACAAATACTCTTGAATATTGCATCCTGTGTTTTGCTTTCCTGAGAGGTGATGACTGTTCTTTCTTATCTAAAACTGAAGTAATTGCAGAGCTTAGATTTCTTTCATATTTAAGAATCTATGAAAAAATAGATTCATTTATGTAAGAATTTAAAACAAAAAATTAAGACACAGCCTAACTAATGCTCGCTATGGTTATATGCAAGAGCATGTCAATGTCCTGATGGCACACCAGCCATTCATGAAGACATCTAAGTGCAAGTCAAGCTTTTTTTTTTTTTAAAAAAAAAAACAAACCAAAACAAAAACTAAAAAAACCCCAATAATATACTTCCTCCAAAAATGAAACTACTACAACAATTTGGATAAAATGTCAAAACTCTTATTGGAAGTGGTTATTTTTTTTAAACTACTACTTCTAGATCATAAATGCTTTACCTGTTCCACTGAGATTCAAACTCTTTACATGTAGAGGGGCAAGAGGGACTTCAAGAATGATGCTAAACAAAACAAAAAACTATGCTAGAAGAGAATGAGGTCATATTTGACAAGGAGTTAGCTAAATTGTCTAATTGTACAAATGCTGAAAGAAATATTTTACTTCTTCAAGTAGGCACTTTTTTTTAACTAAAATGAGAACCATTTAAAAATTACTTTAATGATTAATTTAAAAGTAAATATTTATGCAGCAAATTGAAACAGACCCCAAATGGGCCTGCTGTGAAGACATATTAACCAAAAGCACATACATGCGTTGTTTCAGTGTTTCTGATACTATTGCATATTTTCTGTCTCTACAAAATTAGTTGACATCCTTTTCAAGGCAGTTGCAATGTTGTTTGTGTCCTGGTTTGCTGGATTTGGGTACAGGCTTAACAACCTTGTTCTAAGGAATGAGTGAGTTCTGTGACTTGGCTTGTGCAACCAACCATACCTCTTAATTTTCGGCTGTTCAACTAAGATAAAGCTGAGTCTTTATCTACTTCTAAAAATACAGTCCTTAACTGCTTTGCTTACTGGCCTGATCATCCACAGTGCTCTTGATTCTGCCATGAAAGCATTTAATGCTTTACTAGTTTAAAATGTTCCTTTACTTTTTTTTTTTCTTTGTTTCCTTAACTAAAACCCTTCCTGTTAGCGTATGACCTGGGATTCGCTTGCTTTGGGTGCTTCTTAAAAATTATGGTCTTCATGTGCTGTCAAAAAAGGCGGGAAGGAGCTTTAACTATTTCTTCATAGGCTTTTTAATAGCTCTGGAATGAAGTGAGTACCAGGTAAATGCAAGCCAAAAGAGTATTTTCCTAGTTGGAGAGGGTGCTTGCAGTGTCTTTTCATCTAGTGAAAGTTTTCCTTCAGTACTGAATAAAAGTGCATTTGATTGACTTCCTTGATTAGGTAGAGACTTACTACTGAACATGCTTCAAGACTAACCAAGCTATGCCATCCCTTTAAGCTATTCTCTTACAAGCAGTAGAAAAAACCCAACCTAGGCAGTTGTGCCTCTTTGTTTAGAATTCTACTCCTTGCCAAAAAATTGCTTTTGTGAAACTCTTAAAACTCATTTCAGCTGCTTTATCTGTGTGCAGGGGTTTAGGATTGTTCACTGTATATAATAATATGCATATCTACAACCTATGATTCATCGTTTATGTGGAGTTTGTATTTAGTCTCACAAAATATAGTTATCTACTGCTTTAAATCTCGCTGAATGCTATGCCAGAATGCCATGCCAGAAAGCTTTGTCCCGTAGTACTTCAGTGGAAGCACCTAGGGTTTTCCTTTGTCTTCTCCCATGCAGTGTCTGTTCTTTTTCTGTGCTGCTTTGCTATTAAAACAGATCTGTCCTTTTTATATTGAGAGTGCAATTAACTACAAAATCTGCTGCTTCCTGCTGTTGTTACTGCTTTCTAAACTCCTGTTTCCAAGTGTTTGTTTCAAGAGTAAATACTGTTGGGGGGAAAAAAAACCAGTAGTTGTGAGAGTTGAACAGCTCCTTTACATTGAAATATTAGAAATAGTGACTTTTCAAAAAAAATTTTTTTTTTAAATTTTTGGTCACTTCTAAAGAGAAGTTTTGTGGTTTCAGCCAGTTCAAACTGTGGTTTAATAGTGGGATTTCTTCCTCATATGGTAAACCACCTCTGTCTCACTTCAGGTTATACTTAGTTTGGTATCTCTGATC